TATAAAAACTAAAATAGTAAGCTATATTACTATAACTAACTTATAATCTTTAATTTTAATAAACTAAGAATTAAACTACTCTAAATTATACACAACTTGCCTATTAGAGGACACCTAGGCAGAGGAAAGACTCTTAACCTACTATAGAGAGAGTACTACTAGCCCCGCATGTTCTATACTGTATGCTAATACATATTATGTTGCTATACTTGCTGTAAAGTAAAGGCCTCTTAAGAAAAGTATAATAGCCTACTTAAACTACTTCTAATCCTTAAACAAGCTTAAAAAGACATATTAATTAATTTTATTATAAACCTACTTCTATCTAAAGAGTATATAAATATTATAGTAGTTATTAATTACTTAACTAAGTATTAACACTTAATACTATGTTCCTTTATAACTGCCTCTAATATAGCCTAGTTATTCTACTAATATGTATAAGTTTACTATAGCCTGCCTAACACAATTATATTAGACAGAGGTACACAGTTTGTCTTAGCCTTCTAGGACAAACTCTATAAATAGCTCTAAATTATTCTCTATTTATCTACAGCTTTTTACCTAGAGACTAACAGCTAGACTAAAAACATAAACACTGTAATAAAATAAGTCCTATAAGTGTACATAAACTACTAGTAAGATAACTAGGTAAAATAGTTAGCTACAGCATAGTTTAAAGCTAATAACATAACATCTAAATTAACATAAGTATCCCTGTTCTTAGTAAACTATAGATACTACCCCTAAATAAGATTTAAACTACTTATAAATACCTCCTAACTAACTTATTAATCTGTATAAGTAATAAACATAAATAGACTTATTAATAAAATCTAAAATATATTTAAATATATTTATAAAAAGCTTACATAGGCTTAAGCTTTTTAACAAGAGTACGTAAACTAATCCTAAACCTCTACCCCTGCGTATGCAGCTAGCAAGAAGGTCTAGCTAGACACTAGAAATATCTAAATAAACTAATAATTAAAGAAACTTAATTAGAAGAACTTTAGCCCCTTTATAGTAGCCTATATAGTCTTATTGTACACTTACTAATTAATCCTACCTAACAGCATAAAGATACACCTTATGTTCTACGTATTATTGCTGCGCTAAGTAGCCTCTAAATCTAACTATCTACCTAAACAGCTAAACCTGCTACTTAAACTTATTATTATAAATAATAAACTAGAATATGTTATAAAAGACATTAAATAGATCTAGTTTAATAAAAAAAAACATATCTATAAATACTTTATAAAATAAACTAGATATAATAAACTGTTATAAGAACTTGCAGAAGCTTTGTAAAAGAACTCTACAGTAACCTAATTCTACACCTAATACCTATCTAAACTAAACCTGTACTCTAATAAAGACAACCTAATGCTAGAACTACTAATGTAAAGGATTCCCTTCCTAATAAGGGGGGGGGTACTGTTACAGTATCCTCTCTAGATCCTAGACATAACTATATTAGACGCGTACTAGAGTATTATTAGTGCATGTCTAACATAAACATAACATAACATAGACATAAACTTAAGTATAAACTGCCTTAACACTAACTAAACCTAAAATAGGCTTAATTTATACTTAAAGCGCTTAGACTTTTAAGCTAAGTATTTAATTACTAATTTCCTTTTAAACCTTCCTGTTCCTTACACAACGTCTTGTACCTACTATAATACCTCACGTAGTAATTAAACTAGACCTCTGTGAAGCTCTATAACCTTACTTGTGCACAATTGTAACAAATAGACTTTATAACAGGACTACTACTATCCTACAAACCTAGCACTAAAAGGCTCTGCAACATAATTATAGTAGTAGTTAATAAAACTATAAAGTTTATTTTTATATAAGTAATAGAAAAAAGCATAACAGCAAAAGAATTTATATTTAAAATAAAAAAGAATCTTTTTATAACTTATAAATGCCTATAGATTATTATCTTAGATAAAGATAAACTCTTTACTAGCAAGTATTAGACAACTATAGTCTAACACCTTAAGATAACTTACAAACTCTCTACAGCCTACTACCCCTAGATAGATAGACAAACAGAATAAATAAACATAGAAATAGAAAAGTATCTATAAAAATACATCTTATATAAATAAATAGATTAGCCTAAATAGTTGCTAATAGCCTAATTAGCTATTAACACTATATAATTTACCTTAACTAAAATAACTTTATATAAAGTAAATTTTAGCTACCTTTATAAATATAAGCTTTTTAGAACCTAACTAATAGATCTACTAGAGGCCTTAAGCTAAACAACATAACTATTAAAAATACACTAGAAATTAGGTAAAAAAGCTTAGCTTATAGTTAAAGCTATAAAAGCATTAGCAAATTAACACTAATAAATAGCACTAAAAATACATCTCTATAATTATATATATTTAGACACTATAAACCTTAAAAACCTTTAACTAGCACAGAAGCTAGCTAAGAAATAAATAAGGCTTTATAAAGTTATCTAAACCTGCCTTAAAGCATGTAAGCTTAAATTACTAAAGGACATAAAAATCTTTTTATAGTTCTATATTTCTAAATTAGAACTAGCACCTAAGAACATCCTATTAGCAACTTAAAAATAAGATAAAAAGGAACTTAAATATAAAGTTAAAAAGATTTTAAATAAAAAAAGAAATTATTACTTAATAAAGTAGGTAGAATACCTAACCTGTAAAAACACCTAAGAGCCTGTTATAAACCTATAGAATGCCTAGAAAGCGCTATAGAAGTATTACTTGCGCCTTTTAAGTTAAACTAACTAGGCAAAAGTTCTCTAAACTAAAAAACACTATTATTAGATAAAACTACAGCAGCATTAAGTAGCTATAATGTAGGAAGCTTACAACCCTTTAATATAGGCTAAGAGGAAGGAAGACCTACTACTTCTGCCTTAAGCGCTTTAAGCTTATTTAGAGATAAAAAGTCTTTTTCTAAATACTTTACCTTTTAATTTTTTAATACTTTTAATTATTTCTAAACTTATTCCTGCTAAACTATAAAGGACTAAAGACGCCTTAAGAATTTAGTCTACTTTTATATTTTTCTTTTCTTTTTCTTTATCTTCTTCTTTGCTGCTGCCTCTAGTTCCCTGTGTAACTTCTTCTCTTTACACTCTAAACAATTCTAGGCTGCATTAGAAATAAAAGTGTTATAATAACTACTTTTCTACACACACTCTACGCACTTGTCTAATAATAAGAACATTATGTAAGATAAACTATGCAACTAGCAGAAACTATAAAGACGCATTTTTGTGTAATAATAAAAATTAAGATAAGTAACAGTATAAAAGTAATAAGTAATAGCAAAAATATAAGAAACCTAATAAGGCATAGTTAAAATAGATAGACATAAGACTAGCTTTTAAAAAGAGACACACACTAGCTAAAAAAAAAACCTAACACTTATAATAAGAAAAATATAATAGTAAGAATGCTAACTAGAAAAAAGGCCTATGTGTTATAGCTAATAAAAAGACTGTAATAACTTAGCTTGCTATTATATATAGCCCTAAGCATAGTAGATAGAAGACAGTTAACTCTATAATTAGCAGACCTTATAACTAAACAGAAAAGGAATAGCGCTATCTTATAGATAAATGCTTAGCAGAATGCACTGTCTAATAGGGACTAGAGCATTGTAGGCAATACAGGCGTTGCAGGCAGTTGCAGGCAGTGCATGCAATGCATACAATGCATGCAAACATATATAAACCTTATGTATATAGTCTTAATCTTAACTATAGTTTAAAGGTTGTAATTAATGTTTAGTTTATTCTTTATAATAGACTAAGAAGCTTAAATCTTTTCTAAAGAGGATTAAGCTGCCTTATATATCTTATAACATATATACCTCTAACCCTTGTTTACCTAACTAGTAACGCCTAGCTACTTATACAGCTATAGGGACAAACTACAGCCTGCCTTCTAAACCCTAACTATCCTTTACTCTGCTTAACAGACTGTACACCTGATCCAGCTAAGTTCTCACCCCCTTCTCCACTAACGTTATATAGGCCGTTGTACTCCGGAAATTACCATTTCCCCGGAGTAAGGATTGTAACAATAGTGTACAGACATAAGGTTTTTAAGCTAGCGTATAATTATATTTACTATGTTAACAAGTAAGACTTTCTAAGCATCTATACGTGTATTAGACCTATACTATTTATAGAGTAGATAATTAAGAGCAGCTTTTAAGCTATAAGTTTAGTCCTATACTGTCCTAATTACGTCTTGTTGTTGCTTACTGTTGTCTATACGCTGTCTCTACTAGCGCAAGAAGCTCACAGTAAAACGCGCTAAACTGTAGAGACGCTTTATATAGTTGCTTAGCTGCAGCAGTAGGCTTAACTTATTTATAACTGCCTTAGTTATTAATTATAGAGCTTTACTAGCTAGGCAATAGCTTAGCTTGTTAAAAGATGTTAGATAGTAATGCACTTAGTAATAATCTTTATAAAGGAGAACACTAAGCTATGTTAGGCTAACTATTATTAAAAGTAGAAAAGGCAACAGCGACAGCAGTATATTGCTACAGGAGGGACTCTCACAGGCTAGGAAGGTCAGAGGCTGGCTGCAGAGGCTGATAGGGTGGTCGAGGTAGATGCGCAGGCTCAGGCATCTCAGAGCTATCGCCGAGCACCACTAACCTGCTTAAAATGCCACGTGCAAGGCTATAACAGGACTTAATGTAGAAGCAATTAGGAATCTTTTGTATATATATCTATATAGGTTTAATTCAGTTGCTGTTCAGTTATCTGTCAGAAAGGTGCTCTGGTTTTGGTGGGGCTGGCGGATGACTGATTTTGGCGGATGAGTGATAAAACACGTTAGCTTAGGTGTCGCTTACGTAAGCCACATTCAACTAGAAAGTCTTGCCTTCCTATGGCCGAAATAAAAGCAAAAGACGGTGCCTAACCTCCCCGCTCCGGAAACATTGCGAAAGCTACGATCACCGACGAAGCTGTAATGACCTTAACGGACTTAGGAGAATCAGACCCCCACAAGGTTCCCGAGGGAGGACACGCTAGGTCTGTGTGGCCTGCATATTCAACGTTAATAGCTTCACGTGGGGTGTCGCAGCCAGCTACGGCGTCTACTTTACCTTCTACACCGTGAACGATAGCTTTCCAGAGACCATTTCGTTAAATTATGCCTTCATCGGCGGCTACAGTTTCGGAGTGTCGATGTCGGCTGCTTCACCTGCAGTCTACCTTCGAAAAACGTTTGGGACGTATATTTCCATGTGCACTAGGTTTGCATTGCAAACTGGTGACTTCATTGCGGCTTCCTCCGGAGAGACTTTCCGGGGACCGTATCTTACCTAGAGTGGGTACTGGCAAATTCTTATGCGACTTACCGTAAGGATCTCTCCGCCCCTTCGAAGGTTATTAAAACGCTCGATACGGGTGGGTCTTACAGCATGTTGGAATATGATCGGTCCGACTTGGATGAATTTTACCTACCAAATCACTTGATATAATAGGGAGAGTGTTGGGAGTAGACTAATCTTGTGCTGAAAAACACACCCGTATGTTCTATTGTGTGTGTTAAAATGCAGCCTCGACAAAGTTGAGATGGACTCACAATATGCTGACAATTGCAGACCATCAGCCCTTTATGTGTCGAAGTTGCCGGTTTGGCGGAGGTGCCCTCGATGTTTGCATTGGCGTTTGGGACAGTCATACTGCCAACCACATGTGATTTCCACTATATTGACTATTATCACCACTAACCGCGTTGAAGTCTTAGAAGTTATCGCTTTGAAGATACGATAATCCTAACAGGCCCGGCCATACTTTATCCTCAGATACTCACTAGTTATCTTATTGCAAGTGGAATCATGCTTGCGCTCTGGATCGCTTAGCGCAAGGAGGAAAAGGTCACGCTAGCCATGTTCAATGAGTATAACATATTGGCCCCTCTACTGGAACTTTAGCACTGACACTTTAATGGGTTGAGCTTGTTGCTGTAATGAGGGAGGGTGCTGAAAGGATGCCAATACTTTTATCAACTAGGCCCTCGACCTAATAATCCTCAATTTAGCAGGCTAAAGGGCGATGTCTCATATTATGGCCGTCTGTGCTGGGAAGACTGCAGGAGAGTCTGACAAAGCTGAAATCGCTCGGCTCGTATATCGTGCTCTTCGAGTTTGTGGCCATGCCTCCAAGGTAAAATTATGTCGTTCGTAGATCTGTCACCAGCTCATGCGAGCCTTTCCTGGTCAATTTGAATCTGTGCTGAAACGCAAACGAATCAAGACAGCCGACGAAACGGGCCAAAGTGCTTTCCGCTTTGATTTGATGACGATCCGCATTCCCCGATGCCCAATCAACCAGTTTGGGCTGCTCAGTCATTGACCCTCCTTACCACGCAGTCATTCGATTTCGTGTATGACGCTTTGGAAAGTAGGGTGAAGAGTCATACTGCGCTATGTTGTTTCCACGGCGTTGAAGGGTGGCTGCGAGAATGCAAGAGGGATTGCACGTACGATGAAGGTGTGACTCCTCATCTGGAGTGAACAGATTAGCGCCACAGAGGCGGGCTCCGGACTTAAGCGAATAAGCGAGCTGCCCCACTACGTGCTGTAAAACTCATCGCTCCCCCAAGTGTCTGAGCCCTCTCTGCTCACCGAGACCCTCACTATATCCTCAAGCCAGAACAGGGCTTTAAATAGAGTCCTCTCCCACCTGCCACTGGCCTCAACAGCCAGAGCACCCTCCACACCCAACAACGTCCCACCACGAACTCTGAAGCCTCCGAGCGGGGTACGAGAAACCTCCACACCACCAAATTTGCGCACGTAGAGAAAGCATCCACCAACCGCTAAAATGGTCAAGTAAGTATACATCCTACTTCTCCTCGCGTAAGAGCCGCCGAAAGGCTCGGCTCGGTACTGTTCTTTACGAATAAGGGATAATGCTAACGGGCTGCCCGCAGCTTCACGGTCGAGGAGGTATGTAACACGCCAATAGAAGACGACGGTAGCAAAGGCATGGGACTGACTACTTGAACAGATCCGTGAGCTCATGGACAGCGCGGCCAACATCCGCAACATGTCCGTGATTGCTCATGGTGAGTCGCTCCTGCTTGACGAGCCCCGCACCTGCATCGCACCACTAACCCGCCTCCTCCACAGTCGACCACGGAAAGTCCACTCTGACCGATTCCCTCGTGCAGCGTGCCGGCATCATTTCTGCGGCGAAAGCTGGAGAAGCTAGGTTTACGGACACGCGGGCCGACGAACAGGAGCGCGGTGTGACGATCAAGTCCACTGCAATCTCCCTGTATGCCACCCTAAGTGACCCGGAGGATATGAAGGATATCCCAGTTAAGGTGGAGAAGAATGACTTCTTAATCAACTTGATTGACTCCCCTGGACACGTTGACTTCTCGTCCGAAGTTACTGCCGCTCTCCGTGTCACCGACGGTGCGCTCGTGGTCGTCGACACTGTAGAAGGTGTCTGCGTGCAGACCGAGACTGTGCTTCGCCAGGCTCTCGGTGAGCGCATCAAGCCCGTCGTCATTATTAACAAGGTCGACCGTGCACTCCTTGAGCTCCAGGTCAGCAAGGAAGATCTCTACCAGAACTTCTCTCGTGTCATCGAGTCCGTCAATGTCGTCATCGCCACCTACTACGACAAGGCCCTCGGTGATGTCCAGGTATATCCAGATAGGGGAACCATTGCTTTCGGCTCTGGTCTCCACGGCTGGGCCTTCACAGTCCGTCAATTCGCTTCGCGATATGCCAAGAAGTTCGGTGTGGACAAGAACAAGATGATGGAGCGTCTCTGGGTAAGCATCTACTGAAACCAAAGTCCTTTCTTTTACTGTCTGACGATTCTATAGGGCGACAACTACTTCAATCCTAAGACTAAGAAGTGGACTAAGACTGGCACGCACGAGGGCAAGCCGCTCGAGCGTGCTTTCAACCAGTTCATCCTCGATCCCATCTTCAGGATCTTCAGTGCTGTCATGAACTTCAAGACCGAGGAGATCCCAACTCTCCTTGAGAAGCTTGGGATCAAGCTCACCAATGACGAGAAGGATCTTGAGGGTAAGGCTCTCCTGAAGGTCGTTATGAGGAAGTTCCTCCCTGCTGCCGACGCTCTTCTCGAGATGATGATTCTCCACCTCCCATCCCCGGTCACTGCCCAGAGGTATCGAATGGAGACCCTTTACGAGGGCCCTCACGATGACGTTAACGCTATTGGTATTCGTGATTGCGATCCCAAGGGACCCCTGATGTTGTATGTCTCAAAGATGGTGCCGACCTCGGATAAGGGTCGATTCTATGCATTCGGTCGTGTCTTCTCTGGTACCGTCCGCTCCGGCCTCAAGGTCCGCATTCAGGGCCCGAATTACACCCCAGGAAAGAAGGAAGATTTGTTCATCAAGGCCGTTCAGCGTACTATTCTCATGATGGGTCGATTCGTCGAGCCCATCGAAGATGTGCCCGCTGGAAATATTCTTGGATTGGTTGGAATTGACCAGTTCTTGCTCAAGTCCGGTACGCTTACTACGGATGAGACTGCACACAACTTGAAGGTCATGAGATTCTCTGTCTCCCCTGTCGTCCGGCGATCCGTCGAAGTCAAGAACGCCCAAGATCTTCCTAAGCTCGTCGAAGGCCTCAAGCGCCTCTCCAAGTCTGACCCATGCGTCTTGACGTACATTTCGGACTCTGGCGAGCACGTTGTCGCTGGTGCCGGAGAATTGCACTTGGAGATCTGCCTAAAGGACTTGGAAGAGGACCATGCCGGTGTTCCTCTCCGTGTCTCTGACCCTGTAGTGCAATACCGCGAGACGGTTGCCGGCAAGTCGAGCATCACTGCCCTGTCCAAGTCTCCCAACAAACACAACCGTCTGTATGTTATCGCCGAGCCTTTGGACGAGGAAGTTTCACAGGCGATCGAGTCTGGCAAGATTGGCCCTAGGGACGATTTCAAGGCTCGTGCCCGTATTCTGGCCGACGAGCACGGCTGGGACGTTACCGATGCCCGTAAGATTTGGTGCTTCGGTCCAGACACTACGGGTGCCAATTTGTTAGTGGACCAGACTAAGGCCGTTCAGTACCTGAACGAAATCAAGGACTCCGTTGTCTCCGGTTTCCAGTGGGCGACTAAAGAGGGTCCCGTTGCTGAGGAGCCAATGCGGTCAGTCCGCTTCAACATTATGGATGTCACCCTACACGCCGATGCGATCCACCGCGGTGGCGGTCAAATTATCCCTACTGCCCGTCGTGTGTTGTATGCTGCTGCTCTCCTTGCTGATCCTAGTCTGCAAGAGCCAGTCTACCTTGTCGAGATCCAGGTGCCAGAGCAAGCTATGGGTGGTATCTATGGTGTACTCACCCGAAGGAGAGGCCATGTATTCGAGGAGAACCAGCGTGTCGGAACTCCGCTGTTCAACGTCAAGGCTTACCTCCCTGTCAACGAGTCCTTCGGTTTCACCGCTGATTTGCGATCAAATACCGCTGGTCAGGCCTTCCCACAGATGGTCTTCGACCACTGGCAGATCCTCCAAGGTGGCTCGCCACTGGACAGCTCAACGCTGCCTGGCAAGATCGTCCAGACGATGCGGAAGAGGAAAGGTATCAAGGTTGAGGTTCCGGGCGTTGACAACGTAAGTAAATCCCGATTCGGTCCATATGGAGCTTTCTCTAACTTGAAATTTAGTATTACGACAAGCTATAGAAGGAAACTATCGAAAATTGTAGATTTTCCTTTACTCCAGACCTTGGTGCGCACGGTAGTGTTGGGCCTGCTTGTGATCGCTGGTCGCTGTATACCACGAAAAGTCCCAATTATGGAGCTACCAGAGCAATGAAATGACGATCCGGGCAGCGTGGCTCTCAAGGTCGGCCCTTGGTATGGCTCAAGAGATGGCTAATGATCTTTTTCCTTTGCATGTTCTTTGTGTGACGTAGTTTTTATGGTGGTAGAAATAAGAACGACATTGCACAAGCAATCTATGAAGTACGTGATCAAAAGGGAGTGAGCGTGCTGAGTGTTAGCACCTGATGTATACCATTATAGAAGGACGCTTTGGGATAGAAATTTGCCGTGGTTTGGCGTTCTCAGCGAGAGGTTTAACATATATTCTCCCGCAGCTACGTTTCGCTTTTATGTGGTTGGGTGTTATCGTGGAGGACGGGCGAATTTCGGGTGAGAATGTCGCGCTAATTTAGTCACGTGACTGTGGCGGTTACTTCACGCGACGACAAGTCGGGCCCATGATCGTCATTTTGAAATGCGCCCGCATCCCTGTTCCTCCATCCTCTCACATTCACCATCCAGTCCACCATCTGCGCCCTAATGGTCTGGTTGCGCTCCGAAACCTTCATGAGCGGCCCCCGCCAGGCCTGCCGTTGACTTCGAGCTGCGTCTTCAGGCCTTCACGGAATCCTGCGAGAACAATACCAATCCACCCAAATCGATTCTGGTTAGAAAGGAAAAGATGCTCGTCGACGACACTGATAAGACTGCCTTGAAGCAGTGGGTCACTCTCAAATTAACCGAAATGTAAGTCTTTCCAAGTTGAGCATTTATTTGCGACTTCTGGCTAACTAGACCTCAACTCACAGTTCGGAAGCAGACCCTGAAGTGCTGGCGGACTATGTGATTGCGTTGCTCACTGCAGACGAATCGGAACATTTTGTCAAGGAGCAATGTTTGGAGGCCTTGCCAGACTTCCTTCCTGAGCGTATGTCAATAGGTAGCTAATCGAGTTGCAAACACTAATGCAGTTAGATGCCGTTGGTCCCTTTGTGAACGACATTTTTGACGCAGTCAAGACGAGGTCGTATCTTCCTGCCGAAGGCCGCGATGAACAAATAGTGCAATCTATACCCCCCCTCCTTGAAGCTTCGACGCCCTCCGCCGATTCCGCGGCTACACTCTCTGCAGAACCCACACCTTTCAACCCTCCCACCGGGCCCTCAGCGAAGGCATCTAGGCCGGTGCTCTCCGCAAAAGCCCCATCATTCAACCCCCCAACTGGGCCTTCAGCAGGCGCAAACCGGCAACAACGCCTGCCGGGCCTGGGTAGTGCTCCAGAGAACGACAGAGCAGAGAAGTCAAGGAAGCGAAGCTATAATGATCGCGCGGGGAGTGAGGCTCGAAATGGCCTGGATGCTCACTACAAACGCGGCGTTGATGGAGACAGGCCGATTAAGCAGGTCGCTCGCCGAGGAGGTCGAAACAGTCGCGGTGGCTTCGTAGCTCAAGAGGGGAACAGGAGTGGGACACATGGGACTGGGCCTGTGCCAAACCCCATGTCTGCTATGTCGAATCTTTCAACCTTGCCAAACTTGACAAGCGTATTTCCACCTTTTGATCCTACAGATCCAATGTCATTCCTCGCGATGTCAGCGTTGGGACTTGGCATACCCGGCATGAGTCCACCAATACCTCTGACTGGGTTGCCTCCGGCATTTTCCGCTCTTAAACAATTCAGTCCCAATAATACGTTTATCCCAACAAGCTTGAAGGAGAGATGTCAGGACTATGACACGAAGGGGTTTTGCGTCCGTGGAAGCGCCTGTCCTTATGAACATGGAGGAGAAGTTCTGATCGCTGATGGTACACACAATTTTCTTACCCCCACTTTCTCGCCTCAACGGCCGAGCACTTCTTTCAACTCCCAGCCCCTCCTGTTCCTCGCTAACGACGCCCCACCAGAGTACGACCCAAATCAAGCTTCGCTTGCTATCAAATCTACAGAAGGCGTTAATGGAAGTCAAAAGGGCAATCAAGGTTCAGGTCGTGGGGAATTCGGAGTTCGTGGACGCCCAACTGGCCGTCGTGCTCGCGCGCCCTTTTCTCAGCCTGGCCCTACTAAAGACCGTTCGAATACGACCGTAGTTGTTGAGCAAATTCCGGAAGACAAGTTCAGCGAAGATGCTGTTCGAAGCTTCTTCTCACACTTCGGCAGGATTGTGAACATAGAGATGCACGCATACAAACGTCTTGCGATTGTCAAGTTCGGTGATCATTTTGCAGCCCGGCGCGCTTATGACAGTCCCAAGGCGATATTTGATAATCGCTTTGTCAAAGTGTATTGGTACAACCCTGAATCAATTCCTGCTCCCCAAGCCAACAGTATAGGAAATTGTACTGCCAAACCTAGCTCCCCACTTGCAGCCCCACAGGAATCATACACGCAAGACGAGGAGATGGTGGATTTGGCAGAGATAGAGAAGCGTCAGGCTGAATTACAAAAGGCGCACGAGGAGCGAGTAAGGAAGCAGCAAGAAGCAGAAGCTCAATGTCAAGAGGTGGAAAAGCAACTCAAGATCAAGAACGAGGAAACAATGAAGCTGCGGAGAGAGCTTGCAGCATTGACGGGCTCAGAGTTGAAGTCAACCGAGTCCGATTTTGTAGAGAAACTCTCATTACTGCAACAGGAGGCTCATACCTTTGGGATTGATACGGACAAGTGTCAACCTTCACCATCTGGGCGGGGCCGAGGAGGATATCGCGGCAGGGCCACCTACTATTCTACACGAGGACGTGGTTACCGTACTTTCAGGGGTGGATCTGTGGCCCGAGGAGGATTCACTGGCTCTGCGTTTGCCAACGCTCGTTGTGGTGTGAAGAGGCTCGACAACCGGCCGAAGAAGGTTGCTGTCACTGGAGTCGAAGCTGGTTCGGAGAAAGATGAAGCTTTCCGCCAGTATCTGCTGGTATGCATGCATCTAGATGCAGAGATTTGATTGTCGCTAACCTTTTGGGCTTAGAACAATTATGAGTACGAGAGCATCGAGCAAGATGCTGAGCGCAAGAACACACTCGTCATTGTTTTCAGAGAGCGCTATGTCGCGGAAGCTGTAAGTTATGCCCCACCGACGAAAGCGGCGTTCTAACGGCCCTCTGAGTTCATCGACAATGCGCGAAGGAATGAGGAAGTTGGCAAGGTTGAGCTCTCCTGGGTGCACAATGGCCGCCCAGGCCCAACCCCAGCTCCGGCGGCATCGGCTGCTCCACTACCCAAGGCGGAGGTGGCGTCAGCACAGCGGGAGCATGAAGTGGATAGGAAGATGGACGAGCATGTGGAGAGCATTGAGCATGCGGACACGGCCACCGACACCAATGGACATGTCAATGGAGGGGACGCTGATTACGACGTCGCCGACGATGAGGATGGCTGGATTGAAAGTTGATGGGATTCTGCAGATGCATTAACGATGGTGGCGACGAGCGTCTTTTGCGTCTTTTCCGTTTCCGTAACAGCATAGCGACAGCGAGGCCGTCAATACGGATGGGATCTGGTGTGCGCACGCAAGTGGATACCCAGGTAGCGTCAAGCCGACTGGCTGCGAAAGAGCTTCTGCTGGACGAATGCCAGCTTGTTTTACTATGCATGGAATTACAGCCTTTCTCAACAGGAATTAGAATAGTCTGGTGGTGATTTGGCTGAATAATGGTGAAATGCGAAATGGCACCACCCGGCAGTCCTGCGGAAGAGTTAAAGCCGAGGGACTTACCAGGGACGGCTAGCGCAAGCGGCTAGCGCAAGCAGCTAGCGCGTCATTGAGCGACCGCGCAAGGGCCACAGGAACAATACCTAAAGGCGGTGGGACCCGTTGATTGCTGGCGAAACTCGTCAACAGACTTCAATTGACATCCCATACGTTTTCTTGTGTCGTGTCCGTCCTCCCTGGTGCTGCCATCGCTCTCACCCTCTCCCCACCTCCTTTACTGTGCGCTCTTCGTCATGGTCGTCAACGGGAGCTTCGTGTCGCCCACGGCGGATGCCAAAGTGGCCCACCGCATCGCCCAATTGGACGCCAATGGCATTATCTCGACGCTCCTCCACGGCGTCAACGGGTGGACCATCGCCCTGACCTGCTTCCTGATGCTCGTAGCCTACGATCAATGTCAGTCCTGATGTTGCAAGTGCCCCCGCGCACATTACTAACCGGGCTCCAGTCAAATACATCTACAACAAGGGGTCCATCGTAGGCCCGGCCTGGAAAGCTCCCTTCACTGGCCCCTTCCTGGATTCGGTCAATCCGCAGTTTACCAAGTACTATGCTAAATGGATCTCGGCCCCTTTGAGCTGTGTCTCCGTCTTCCACAAGTATGCTTGCTCCCCCCCTTTGTCGATTTTTCCTTCTTTTTATTTCGTCTCGGCAAAAATGTCTTGTCGGCACGACGAGGCCGTATTGCGTGCGCTAACGCCTCTCCAGGTTTGTCGTCATTGCCTCGACCCGCGACATGGCCCGCAAAGTCTTCAACTCGCCCGGCTTTGTCAAGCCCTGCGTCGTCGATGCCGCCTTCAAGCTCCTGCGCCCTAACAACTGGGTCTTCCTCGACGGCAAAGCCCATGTTGACTATCGCAAGGGTCTGAACGGCCTGTTCACTCGGCAAGCCCTTGAGCAGTATCTCCCCGGCCAAGAAGAAGTCTACAACGCCTACTTCAAGAAGTTCCTGCGCATCTCCCAGGAGGAGAACAAGGGCAAGGCTGTCCCGTTCATGCCCGAGTTCCGCGAACTGATGTGCGCCGTGAGCTGCCGAACCTTTGTGGGCCACTACATCTCGGACCATGCCATCAAGAAAATTTCGGATGACTTCTACCTCGTCACTGCCGCGCTCGAACTGGTCAACTTTCCCATTATTCTTCCCTACTCCAAGAGCTGGTATGGCAAGAAGGCCGCCGACATGATTTTGGAAGAATTCGCCAAGTGTGCTGCAAAGAGCAAGGTTCGTATGGCTGCTGGAGGCGAGAAGGACTGCATTCTTGACTTCTGGGTCTCGTCCATGATCGAATCTGAGAAGTATCGCAACAAGATTGCTTCAGGCGTGAAAGTCGACGACAGTGAGAAGCCGTCTATGCTCATTCGTGACTTTACCGATTTCGAGATTTCCATGACGTTGCTCACATTCCTTTTCGCCAGCCAAGACGCCACTTCTTCTGCTGCTACGTGGTTATTCCAGATCATGGCCGACCGACCCGAGTTCTTGGACCGTGTGCGCGAGGAGAACTTGGCAATTAGAAACGGGGACAGGCATGCACCAGTGACGCTGGATCAGCTCGAGAAGCTGCCCTGGACGCGCGCCATTGTCAAAGAGGTCCTACGATACCGCCCACCCGTGATCATGGTCCCCTACATCGCTAAGAAGGACTTCCCCATTACCGACACCTATACTGCCCCGAAGGGCTCCATGGTTATCCCCACTACGTATCTTGCGCTCCACGATAGCGAAGCCTACCCGAATCCCGAGACGTACGATCCTGAGCGATGGATCACAGGCGATGCTGACAAGCAGGTCAAGAACTGGCTTGTGTTTGGTACCGGACCTCACTATTGCCTTGGCCAGACGTATGCTCAACTGAACCTCATGCTGATGATGGGAAAGGCTAGCATGCTGCTGGACTGGAAGCACCAAATCACAGACAAGAGTGAGGAGATTAAGGTGTTTGCTACGATTTTTCCCATGGTAAGCTGCTCTTGAGATCCAGGTGGCTAAGACGAACTGACATGTCGTAGGATGACTGCCTTTTGACCTTCTCCGAGAGGCCCTCCTGAGTCAGAAAACAAGCGATTTCCCATTGCTATGTGCGTTGTGCATCAGCAGGGCATGCTTTCTCTTCTTTTTGCATGGGAATCCGTAGCGACGGAGTTTGCTTCAATTCTTCTTGGACGGCCCGGTACCCTAGTCAGGTCCACCGCATTCTTGACTTCTTATACCTAATGAATTTTGCCAAGTTTTGGTCCTCAAAAGCGATCAGGCGGCTTATGATGTAGTGAGGATTAGGGGCTATGGATACCTGTGTGGTTTAGCATAATAGTGCCTGGTGATAGTGGAGAGGCAAGGCATGGTGTACATAGATAGATGGTTTGGATGAGCCTTTAAAAGAGAGAGATAGTAATGGTAGTTCTGGAATGAAGGCGAATTGTCGACTGACAGAGAGCATGTGATGGCTGTGCCGCTGACGTTGAAACCCTCGGCCCCAAGAGCAGGGCCAAGCTCGGAAGCTTTGACCAGCAGAGTTTCCAGGACTCAAGCCACTAATTAATTTGATTGCTTCACTTGGACTCTCTCATCCCGCAACCAGCAGCAATCAGTCGTCCACACGAGGCGCCTGGACGCAGCACATCGATACATGGCTCCCACCACCGATGATGCAGCGGCACCCCGGGGCCCGCACCCTTCGTACATTGAGGTTGCGGCGCCTTACCTCTTCGACCACACGATCCAATTGCGGCTCTCATCACTGGGGATGACCGAAGCAAAAGAAGACGCTGTGCGTCTGCAGGGCGTATCCTGGATCGACAATGTCCGCCGCTCCCTCCAACTGCCCGTTAAGACGTTTAACACGGCCGTGGTGTACTACCATAAGTTTCGGCTGCTGCATGCCGACCACGAATACAGTTGGGTGGATGCGGCGGCCGCGGCGCTGTTCACGGCGTGCAAGATTGAGGATACTCTGAAGAAGAGTAGGGAGATTCTGTGTGCGAGCTGGAATCTGAAGGTGCCGGCTGGGGATGCGTTGAGTCCTGATGATCCCGTAAGCCTCTATGGACCCCCCTCCCTTTGCTTATTCAGGAGAGAGAAAAGCTGAAAGGGCATTCTAGCGATTCGAGAATCATTCCAAAACCATCATCGGCCTGGAGCGGCTCATGCTGGAATCGGCGGGCTTCGACTTCCGAAACCGGTATCCGCAGAAGCTGCTCGTGAAGCTGGCGAAAGAATGTGGGCTAGAGAGGGATCAGGCTGGCAAGACGGCTTTCAATATGAGCCTGGATCTGTACCGCACATTCGCACCGCTGAAGCAAACGACGTCGACCATGGCAATTGCGTGCGTCGAGTTGGCGGCCCGGTTGTGGGAGATGGATCTCACCAGCATCGTGGGTCACAAGGGCATTAATTTGGAGAAATGGGGGACCAGCAGGGCCGAAGTTATGGGTATTGCCCCCATCCCCTCCCCTCCCCTTTACCACCTTTCTGTGCACTGAACTCGCCACCAGAGACTCTCCTCGACCTTCTAGATCTCTACACCCACCACCGCCCCTCTACCTCCATCGGCCCCCTATATGCTCTCGAGACCTTCATCAACATCCGCATCACGCTAAACCAGGAAGCCAAGAGTGCCAACCTCCCACGTTACACCGGAACCTCCTCGTCTCCCAAATCCCCACTCGCAAACGCCACCAACGGCACCAGACCGCGCAACGGCATCGCGCCCACCAGTCCGCCCACCCCGCTGACGCCCGGCACAATTTCCCCTGGCCAACCGACAGCGCCAACGTCGGCCATTGGGGTACGGGGTCAAAGTGGCACAGTGCGGTTTATGCTGGATGCAGCACGCGCGAAGAACGAACGCATTGAAGTGGAGAAGTATCATAAGGTTGAGGTGGAAGAGTATGAAGTCGAAGTGGCAGTGGAACCGGATCGGAGACAACGCGTGCGTTGAGTATTGACATGCCCACGCCCATGCCCATGCCTATCCCCGATTCGTTTGGAGTTTGCAATTCAGCTGGCTTTTTGGCGGGGCTCTTACTAAGTCCGGCCTGTTGTCTCTTAGGTAAAGACTACTCCTAGCAGCGACATTAGCAGTACCGAAGACATCAAGATCAAGGGAGCAGCAGCAGCACGAGGGAGGGGAAGCAAACCCAAATTTAAGCCTGCAGGTGCGGGTGCGGGGACTGGCTCGGGCAGAGCTGGTAGGCAAAATACCTTCAACACCCCTCCCCCTCCCCCTGAAGATCCACATCCTCACTCCAACCCCACAAGATTGCACCGTGGACGTGGGAAATGCGGCGGAAGCGACCGAGGCCGAGGGAGAGGGAAAGGGAGAGAGAAAGGTGATTGTTGGCGAAACGAACACCACCATCACCACCACCACCCTCCAGATTAAATGCTACGATGATTCAGTATGCTAATGCGGTGTTCTCTAGGGATACTAGAGCCCTCAGATAGCGATTCTAGTGTGTTAAGAGTCTGAAAGGGTGGGAGCGGGCTGGATAGGGTGGCAGAATGAGGCAGGGATTTTGCATAGAAACCTGCACCCTTATACCAATACACGGAATTCCAGCAAGCGTTTTAACTGACAATGCGCGCACTAATAATTTCCCCTGCAGTATGAGAACATGTAGTTGCATGTGCAGCTGCTTTGAAGTGTAATTCTTTTGATTAAGAGTAGTGCAGCTCAAGGCCAACTATCACTGTCACCTCATGTGGTATCTATGAAAAGCCGTGAACGCCATTCCATGAACTATGCCACCCAGTATTCAACTGCCCAGGAAATTGGAATGTTAGAAGCACTAGATGCGAGAGCTGGTAGGTTTAAGCATCCTCGGCAATCGCGATCTTACTCTTCTTGGGAGAATCATCACAGTCTGAATCATCTGCCTTGCGCTTAGTGTTCCTGTCACGGGTGTCCTTGCCATGGTGCTTGTCCCTGTCATGGCGGCCGTGTCGGTCTTTGCCGTGGTACCTCTCTGACTTCTGGAACTTGTCCCGTCGGCTGTTCCAGTCGTCTCGGTCACGAGAGCCGCTCCTGTCACGGTCGCGAGAACCGCTCCCATCACGGCCACGGCGACGCCCCTCGTAGGGGGATCGCGAACGAGATCGAGATTCGTTGCGACGACGGTTGTCACGACGGTTGTCACGACGGTTGTCACGCCGGTTGTCACGCCGGTGATGGTCGCGTCGAGAGTCCGGATGTCCACGGTGTCCGCGCCCACTAGGGCCTCCACGAGAACGATATCCTTTGGAACGTGTGTTGTCGTTGCCCCCCATCCAGCTTGGAGTGATACCCTTTTCCTTGCACTTCTTGAGGCTGTAGTCCTGTTTGCTCATGATAACAAGGTCGCGGCCCTTCCATTTTGGCTTCGGGTCAAGCTTGAGGAACGACTGCTGACTCTCCTCACTGTCGAACTCGACGAAGACACTACCCTTCCAGTCCTTCGTTAGTTGGTCCCGGCGTTTGCGCACCACACGAGCGCCATAGGGTCTGAAGAAATTCTCCAGCTCAATCTGGCCTACCGTGTGCTCGTCACCGAAGCCTTTGGCGTAGATGCTGCTGCTCATTGAATTCTGGGAGCTGCTGAAGAGACGGTCGAAGAGCTCGCGCAGTTCGCGCTCTGTGGGTTCGCTGTCCTTGTCTTCGTCGTAGCCAGGGATCGTGAGGGGTTCTTTGCGCTTGACGGCCTCGTTGCCAATAACACCATCGTCAACCACGACGAGCTGCTCGCTGTCTTTGAGAGCGGCAACAATGGCACTGTACGGCTGGAAGTGCTTCATGCGCTTGAAGTTGTGGAGATGCTTGATGGGGACGGGTACATTGCGCGGGCCCTGCGTCTTGTGGAACAGATGCTTGTCGGTGGACAGGTTCTGGTTGGAGAAGTAGAACTCGACCTGGCAGCGATTAGAAGGGCGAAGCACATGCGAAGGGGGGGGAAGTAAGGGAGGGCATACCTGCTGACGGATGGCATCCGGGTCATTGGACTCGGGAAGATTGTCAAACTCGGTGTTCCTGTGCAGAGTGTCAACAGAGGGGAAGGGGGAGACATTTGGGCTAGGGAGAGGCCATACTTGGCGTTCCGATCGTTGAAGCCCTTAGACGATCGACCGCCGTTGCGCTCGTAGCTGCGGCCACTCTTCTTGTCGGCATAGCTCTCCTTCTCGTCCGCAGTGCCGTTTTTTTCACCAGCGAGAGGCTCGTCCTTCTCAGGAGCAGAGGCCTTAGCGGCGGCATCAGCAGCGGAGGAGGAGTCGTTATTCTCGTCTGGAGCGTCACTGTTGTCCGCGCCAGGCTCTGAGAGCTTTTGGCCGAGCGACTCGTTTGAGTCAGCGGTAGGGATTTTGACAGCTTCAGCGGCGACCTTCTCAGCGTGAGGGGTGATGCTGCTGGTAGCAGCGTCAGGAGTAGCCATTGCTTTCGTTCTATCGTGATTGCGCTGGCAACGAAGTCTGGAGAAAATGTCAGAGCAAGAAACCTCACTACAGCAAGCTAAGGCAAGTGGTGTTGCTGTTTGGACAATCCCAGCGGGGCAGCTGCAAGAGAGCGAGAAATTCTGCCAATAAGCGGCTCGTGGCCCGTGTGCAGTGTGGCTGCCTCGGAGAAACAGGCGCCGATGCTCCGGGGGCTCAAATCTCTGAGCCTAGCAAGCCCTCCCATCACCACAGTCCAAACATTTACTCCACAACCAATTGCCACCCCCCCCCCCCCCCCCCCC